TGTCAAATAGATAAGTAAACTGATCTCATTTTACATCACCAAAATCAATTATGAAGGAAAACTTATGGATTACCTTCTCTAAAGAATTCAAATAATCCACAGCCCTTTCTCTATTGACCATGAATGTCTGCTCATCCATCTCAATATTTGGCGATCCCCTAGACAAAGCACATAAGAATATAACTTAGTTGGCAAAACGTACCTAACTTCTTGCATGAACAAATCAAAAAGTCAATTCCCATGACTGCTGGGGGGTAGTATTAATTGTATGTCCACGCTTAAATTATGCCTGGAAAGAGAGTATTGCAGCAGAGATAGAAAAGGAGGACTCAGCTTACTTTCCCCACCAAAGGTCATCATGTGTAGTCTCATCTTTAACGACACGTTTATCCTTAGGGGAACGTCCAGTCTTGGCACCAGAAAGCGTTGCCAGTGCACCAGTAGACGTAATAAATGACCCTTTTTCATACTTGATCGCCTGCTCGTATAACTCTGTTTTCACATCAGATAAACGCATTACAAGAATGTACCATTAATGGTTCATCTCTCATCTAGTTGATTTATTTTTCATTATAAGTAGACAGTATAATAAAGAAGAAGCAGAAGAAGAAGAAGAGCTACAGTCTATAAAGAAGAAGAGAGATTATACCAGCGGGAGAGAGGTTGTAGAGGATGTGAGTGAATTTCAAGGAACTGTCACTAACGCTTATGGTTGGGGTGCCATGGGCAGGGTGTTGGGTTACGTGTGAAACCCCTGCAGTTTCGGCCTTTCTGGCTGGGTCTCCTTTCACCAGTTTGGGTCCATATCCTCTCGTCAGCGATGCTAGAGAAGCACTAAATAATAAAGAAACCACCCCAAAACAAAATTATATAATAAAAGGAAAATAAGAGAAAGAGGAATGATATTTGCTGCACAAAGAATTTTTCTTAAAGAAATGGTAAGTGATAGATACAAAATACAGAAAAAAGTGAAATATGAAAATAAGTAAGTTGTGCAATAATCGCTTAATAAGGAGAAAGGCTCTTAGAGGCTTCCCTAATGCCACGTTTAGAAAATAATTCTGTAGCAGATAGTTGGGAATGAAAAGTGTATGGGAAGAGGCGAATGGATAAAGAAAAAAATATTTATGTATTCTTCTTTTGCTCTATTATTTTCTTTGTTTCTCTAAAACAGTAATATGCTAAGACATCCATCCATGTATCCTGATAAATGTAGTCCTTTTTCTAGTCCCGCAACATTTTTGCATTTTCATAATCAAGCTATTTGGTACTCATACTAGTGACATGAGTACATGCAAAGTTAGAATGTCAAATGCTCACCAATCTATCATTAAACTTTCAAAGGGGTAACATCTTCATCTACTGGTCGCTTTACGTTCTAGAAGAGAGCTTAAAAGGGTATCATTTTGATTTATTCTTTTTCCATTATCGAAATCAATTAGTACTTGCTTCTGGTTTCTAGTATTTTCTAGTATTGAATATTGATTACCTGATGGACTGCAGCTGCTGTTTCTGACGTTCTTGGCCAGACGGAGGAGCAAAAGCAACATCCTGAGTCTTGTCGGGAGTGGGAGTAGAAGGAGCTGACTTCTTCATCTGCAGCGAATGAAGCTCGTCTATTGTTTGAGCCTTCACGGTTGGCGCGCTGTCGTCGTGACATATTTCGTCATGACTCTTGTCCGTCTGAATCTTCGGTAATCCCCGGCGTCCAGCTGCCCCTTCGTTTGAAGTCATTTCGTCTGCTCTTTTATAAATTTACCCTACACCATATCAAACCATCTTCCATAACTCATTAATATAACATATATAATGGACCCCCAAAGAAAAAACAAAAAAAGAAAATCAAATAATACACACCGAAAAATGCAAGCTGAAGAAGAAAACTTCTACGATGAAGAATATGGGCTTTTAAAGAAAATTGGCAGATATAAAACAAACAAATGACTGAACCATCAAAAGGGTTATAAGTGTGATGTGATATCACTGCACTGCCTTGTTTTACGGCTAAGCAGAAGGTGATGAAATGTGGTGTAGCTCAAATACAGAGGTCGTATTTATAGGACTGAGGAGCACTCTTTTACCGTAGATTACAGTTAAACTCTTGGGGCCTTGATCGGTTCACCATGTCAAGCTCCGTGGTCTCCGGACATTTCATTTAGTTGTCTTTTGATTTTTATCTTATCCTTTTTCTTAGTTACAACATCTTTTGACATCCTTATACCATATAAGAATGAGTTGTGGTCAAAGAGAGATTTGAATTTCAACCGTATGGATAGAAGCTTTTTGAAAATGTGAAATGTTGTATAGTTTTTTTTTAAAATTTTTGGTACAACTAAAGGCAGCATGTGCTTATTTATATTTATCGAAATGCTCTCATTTTAGTACATTTAAAGCTTTAATTTATCGAGCCATTTGAGTATTTTTGGAATATAGAATTATTTTGCAATCGTTTTTGCATCGAGTACAATTCATATAAGTTTATGTGTTGGTGTATTTACTGAAATGATGTTATAGGCACATTGAATTGAAGTGTAGCTTTTGTTGTGCAATTAACACAAAAATATATTAACACATTATGTAATTAACACATTGCTATAATTAGCCATTGGAGGATATTCCTTTGTCTGAAACAACTTATGTTTGTTTCCTCTTTGACGATTTTCAATTAACATCTGTAGGGGTCTTTTGGTAATGGTAAAATTGTAAAAACATTGATAAAACAAAGTGCATAAGTGTGTGCTACAATTAGAACATACTATTATTAGTTTTGTAATATTTAATGACTATTTATTTTCAAAATATATTATTATTTGTTCAATGAAATTTTTTTTTTTAATCACAGGCACCAAACACCTGTACGATACGTGAGCATTCCCCCCTAGTACTACTAGTTTTTCTAATAGAAAGCGCTGCGATAAAAGTCCCGAAATTCATGAGTTGCTTTAATGTGTTGGGATGGTTAATTATTTGAAAAATTATTTTAGAATAGCACCATAACAAATTTTGTGAAGTTATGCATGTCACGTAAAAAGTGGATGGAGAGATAAAAAGAGTGATTCGAAACCGGTTTATGATGCAAACAAAAAGTACTACCAAATGACAATATAACCAGATAATCCAAGTTTAACAGATAATGTACAAAAATACAGCAATACATAGAATGCAAAATGAGTCCAGAATCTTTTTTATTTCCCTCATCACGAAAAATCTTACTTCATTTCGTCAGAACAAATGTTGAAAATACTAAATCATTGTAATGATAATAACTAAACTATTGAGATTTTACTAAATTATGGAAGTTATCTGCATGTGCCTCCATGCCATGGCATCATTCGACTACCTTATGGGGTACTTCATTTACATCTTAAAAAGTATTGTGATACAATCACTGCAAATTATGCGAAGTTTTTAATATGTCTCCTTGAGCAGATAGATTTTTTACTCTATTACCATTTTCATTTTCTTTGCTAGTAACCATAGATTGGTCCCCAACTTTCTTCATTCTTCAATTGTTTTATAGCTAGTTTGTGAGTTGATGATAGAAAAGAAAGGAAGAGAAAGATTAAGTTATGAGAGAAAAGAAAAGATAAGAAAAGAAGGGAAAGGGTTTTAATGTTGTTTGGGAGTTTATGAAAGAAAAGAAGTGATTTTGGATACATAAGTAAATAAATATTTCATTCAATAGCTTTTTGGGGGTAGAATGGGCAATTTAAAAAACTTTTTGCTGCCTTTCCGTGCTTTCCTTTGCTTTCTGCCCGATTTGGGCCGGAAATTTTTTTTAAACTGTAGCTACTTTTTCCTCCTTTCAATTCCGTCGGTTTCTTTTCCTTTCCTTCCACTTAAAGCTCTCAAACGTGGGAGATGCAGTCTTTCTCTTCTATTCCTTTCTTTTCTGTTCAAATCTCATCTCCCAAACTAGCTATAACGTTGTTAGTGGCTAAATGGTTTTGCGTGTTTGGGCATGTCTACTTAGTCCGTTTCATTAGATTGGTAGATGAATGTTGATGTGAATTGAAATTGTAGTCACCACATGGTCCAATGTTAGTTGTGGCTCAATGTATTTTCGTTTAGGAATCAAGAAGATAAGCAGGGCTTATAACTAGTACCAACTGTTAACCAAATAGGGTCCCTCTTCATTGTGGTGCGATACCTTGGCATGTCAGTAATTTCATGCCATTTTTTGCCTGTTTTATTTTATTATGGCTTATGGTCCCGAACCCTTCTGCTCCGTCTTTTTGAGTTTTTCCATCTCATGCTGTTACTATGGGTACATTTGCGTTGAGAGTCCCCTTTCGATAGTGAAACGGCGAGTGTGGTACAATAGCTTTAGCACGTAGGGATTTAGTATATCCTTTTCCTAATCAAAGGGAAAGATTGACGAGTCAACAAAGTTAGGAGTCCCCGTAAACCAACTTGAATGTCGGGTGCATATCCCCCTTAGGGAATACACTTGCATTCTTTTTATATCATTTATTCTTGACTTCATTAACCACATTTTACTCGCACTTTATCTCAATCCACACTTTAAAACCAACAGTCTTTTTTACTACTTATTTATTTTTGTTTTCCCCTTTTTTTTCATTACTTTTCCCTACTTTTCTTATTCACAATGACCTCCAACATTGCGGTATGTCTATATATCTACGATATTTTATCTTTTTTCATCATTGACACACGACCATGTTATTTTATCACATTTGCCATTGCACTTACCTTGTTTACATTTCGGCATCCTTTCATAATTCACACCTTGACAATTTGAGTCTTATTTGCATTTTTTATGGACTCTATGAATTTTCCTAATTGGCTTCCAAACCCATGTGAATGGGGACCAAAAATCTCATAAGAGACATTTTAGATTTAGCTTTGCATTTTTCTTTCCATTTTGCATCCATTAGTCATATCCAACATGCGATACATACCTTGGGTGGAAAAATTAGAAACGTGGGGCTAAGTCACGCAACTAGCTCTTGCTAGGGTAGGGGAGTGACTTAGGTTCCACCGTTGCCTTCTCCCTTATCAAATGTGACCTCCGATCCCTTCTTTTGGTTACGTAGACCTAAAAGTTTTCAAAAAAGGTTTGTCTACTTTTTTTCATTCAAAAACAAAAAATCATTTTTGGGTGACTTGGTACACCCTAATTCTATACCAAGTGACGACTCCATTTTTCATACAAAAAACCCTTTTTGAACTTTATTTGGCCAAACCGTCGCATTTCACAATCCCACGGCCTTTATTTTCACTTTCACACGTTCACATACATATCTCACACACACTACACTTCCACCACCATTTCAAAAAGTGGGGCGCGACAACTTGGCGACTCCACTGGGGACTTCCTAAGTGGGTCCAAGCATTCGATTTAGCTAATCTTTTCCCTTTTTTACCCCTTTTATGCATTGCATTTTGGATATTAGGATTGTATTTTTCCTTTTTTAGGACTCTTTGCCTCACTCACATCTCAAACTACTCCATCGCTT